GACAGAGAATTCCCTCCTCCATGAGGCTTCCCACACTTTGAATTGAGCCTGAATAAACCCAATGTCCCTCTGCACAGTTATTCCAGTGGGAACAGCTGATTCCATGCCCAGGGCACTCCCAAGGGATGAATGATCCTGTCAGCCAGGAGAGAAGCTGGCACGGGAGGAGCCCCTGGCTGCCCAGATCCCCCTTCCTGCATGCCAGCAGAAAGGAACCAAACACAGGGCCATGAGGTCCCTGCACACTGCTTGACACAGAGGCACCATGGACAGAACATCAGCTGCAGTGCTTAGAAAATTATTCCTCTGAGTGAAAAATTACAAATATATAAAAATAAACCTCCTTAAACCACAAGACACCATTAGTATTTTAGCAGTTTGACAAAACATCACACAAATTTAGGTCCAGTTTTAGACAACACAGAAAAGCATTTTCATTGGGTGTTTTTAAAATGCATGATCAAACCCGGCCAGTCCACAGCAAACCTGTGACACCCTCCTGTACCCCAGAATGAGGATAAGATGCCTCTGCCAGCACAGCCCCTCACTGGGACTCAGACCTTCACATTTCACCCACACTGGGCAAAGCCCTTGGCATCAGAGTGCCAGGCCCTGGACAGGCACCCCTGTCCCCCACAGCATGTTATTTAATAGTTCCCTTCTGTTCATGCAGCGCTCATGGGCTGCCAGAGCAACCCAAGGAAGGATTTATTGCATTTTTTTAAACTTTTCCAGCAGGAAGCTGCTTTGCTCATTTTGAGGCTTTGTTTCCTATTTGGTCTCTGCATTTCCTGAGGGAAGCAAAAAGGGTTCCTAAAAAAGAAGCAGCCTCTTCCTTTTAGGTCCTTTACACCACCCTCATTGACTTTGTTCTTCCGTGACAGGCAATAAAATCACCCAGAGCAGCCCACAGTGGCCAGGAGCATCACTGCAGAGCCCCAGGGACACAGATGGGTGCCAGGGGCTGTGCCCCACTCTGAGATGTGCCCCCAAACTGCCCTGGGGCTGGCTGGGGCCAGGCTGGCCTCAGGCACCTGCCTGAGTCGCTGTGCCCCAAGAACAAGCACAGGGTATAAAATTTAACTGTTCTCACTCTTTTATGGCTACAAAGCCCATCATGAACCTGTTATTTGGCATCTGAGAATGCACAGTGCTCAAATATTCAGAGTTAAGCTGTCTCTAATTTGAATATGATGACCATATGAGTTTAATTAATATTAACTGCAGGCTTCCCTTTACAGAGAGCAGAGCAGCTGCCATCCACACAACGAAATCTGCACCTGCTGTCCCCTGCTGCTGTGGGTTCTGTCCCTGCAGAGTGGCCCAGAATCACTCCAGCCCACAGGCACAGCAATTAGGAGCAGCTCAAAGGTGAGACCATCATCTTCCAGGCCCTCAGTGCACTCAGGGACTGAGGAGAACTGGACCAAACCATAAAGTTCTGAGGAAATGTGGCCCAGGACATAGGACAGCAGGAGATGGCCATCATCATCCAACCAGCCGAGGTGCTGAATAGCCACAACCCTGCTGGCTGCAGCCCTGCCTGCTCACCTGCCTGCCCACCTGCCTAGAAACCTGCCTGCCCACCTGCCTAGAAACCTGCCTGCCCACCTGCCGGATACCTGTCCATCTGCCTGCCAACCTGCCTGCCCACCTGCCTGCCCAGCTGCCCACCTGATTGTCCACCTGCCTGCCCACCTGCCTGCTCACCTGCCCACCTGCCTGCCTGCATGCCCACCTGCCTGCCCACCTGCTAGCCGTGCCCATCTGCCTGCCCACCTGATTGCCCATCTGCCCGCCTGCCTGCCCATCTGTCTGCTCACCTGTTTGCCCATCTAGCCACCTGCCTGCCCACCTGCTCACCTGATTGCCCACCTACCTGGTGACCTGCCTACCCACCTGTCTGCCCACTGCTTGCCCACCTGCCCACCTGCCTGCCCACC